ATATTGAAGATAGGATCAAATATATTGCAAGATGTCTGCCACACTCACAGGCTGTTCAGATGCCTGCCTGACACAGCTGCCAGTTTTTCCTGTGCTCTATCAATTATTTCTTTGTTTTGCCTGGATGGTGCTTGTAAACTCTTCAAGGTGTGCTCCTGGGCAGTTATGCGCATTTGAGAATTTTCCCTTCTGATCCCTACTTGGCTGTCTGTGGACCAAAACTGATTTGCAGGCAAGGGAAGACTGCTGAAAATTTCATGACATTTAGATTTTTATAAAGCATATGCTGGTGGCTCAATAGGTTTGCTTACCTTGGATTAAAACCTATTAACGTTCCAGCGTTTTCCTCTCTGTGAGATTCATTTCTGACTCGCTTGTGGTGACTTGCAGAGCGCTTCATTACAGCTCAGGGGCACAACTGATGCCGCACCAGCCATTAAAAATGAGTTTGCCAGAGTACAAAAAAGAAACCTTTGTAGACGAGGGCCAATTTGTTTCGAAGGCGATGCACTGTAAGAGCATTCACAAAGCGGCAAGCATTATCTCAGATTCAAGCTATGCCGTTTTCTCTCCTATTTTTAAATACCAAATAGAGAACTGGGAGAGTCCTTTCTTTGTGACAGCAGCTTTGGTTCCTGCCCTTATTTTCTGCCATTGTAGCTCCAGTTAAGCTGTGAGAACAGCCCTGTGGGTTTTTTGTTTTTTCTTTTTCCATTGGATAAAATCGATGTTTGTTTGGGGTCCTTATGAGAGTCATCTTATTCTCTATGCCTCAGTTTCTTTATATGCAAGATATAACCAATACCAAACTCACAGGTTATTGGGAAGGGCGGGAGATCTAATGAATATAATTTTTATAAGTGAAAATGAGTACTCAATAAAGCACAAATAATAATTTTCGTTGTTATTAAACCAGGCACATTTTACTATTTGCCACCTCAAGATTCTCCCATTGTTTTTCCTAAGTGATTGCAATTTAATTTTTTAATTAGCCCTCATTATTTACATATTCACCCAAGTTGCAAGCTCCAAGACAAATACCTTTGGATCCGGGTTTCTCAACCTCTGCAATATTGACATCTTGAGCTGGACAATTCTTTCAGGGTAGGGACTGTCCTGTGCATTACAGGACTTTTCATGAAATCCTTGACCTCTACCTGTTAGGTGTCAGCATCCCTCCCCAATCTCCACAGTTGTAACAACCAAAAGTGTGTCCAGCCTTTGCCAAATGTCCCCTGGGGAACAAAAGAACCCAGTAGAGTACCACTGCTTCAGAGTTTATCTAGCTGGTGTTGTCTTTGGTTGCATTTACTGTACATGTAGAACAGCAAGAGCACTTGAACTGGTGAAAGCTATACAAACCAGTGACACACCCTAAGAACATATTACAATTTGTAAGACAGAGATATTAACCAGGACTGAAGGCTAATAGTGGCCACTAAAGTCAAGAATGAGACTGAGACCATCGACAGCAACTTTTGAGTAAGATTAGGGGAGATAGGAAAGCAGCTCAGAATGAGTCCGTAGAACTGCGTGGGTACATCCACCTAATAGTGAAGAATACTTCCCCACTCCAGGGGCCAGAAGAGAAGAAAGAGAGAAAAGTATCCAGGATAGAGCTGACCAAAGGGAAGAGGTGACAGGGAAGGGAGACAGCTTTCATGTCAAGTAGAGGGCAGCTGAAGAGTAAAGAGCACAGGGCAATATAATATACCACAAACAAAATAGCAAGAAAAATGGAGAAAAGATGAGAGAAGGAAGGACAGAAAAGAAGCAAAATTCATAGTAAACATAGAGGAAAGAAATGGGGGCAAAGCCTACAGGTGTAAAGATAACGCCTGACTTCCGAGTTTATCTAGGTCAAGTGTCAGCCCACGGGAAGCTCCACACTGGCCTCCCCACCCTGTAACTGCCTTCTTTCTACCACTGGTGCGGCCTCAATGAACTGGATCTGCTTTTTCACAGGCTGCTCTGCCCATGGAGTCATGCAGTCAGGGCCCAGCTGGTCAAGAGGGACAGCATCTATTGCTCTGCCCATGCCTGGACCCAGATTCTATCCTTTCCCCAATCAAATCTAGTAAACTCAATAGCTCCTGGTTCCCAATGATAGCCAGGTAGCAACACCATATTAGGCTCATTTGAAGCATAGAATGGATGTACTGATGGTATCCAGTCCTTAGTCCAACCTTCAAAGGCCTCCAGACTCTGCCTTTGCCTTCTTTCCAAACTTGTCCATTCTCATTCTGATATTTTCCAACTGTACTTTTTAGAAACTTGGAGTGCACATTTCTTTTTTATTACAAGCATGAAAATTTAGATTTTCACAAGTTAGAGAGTGTTTTTTTTTTTTTATTATACTTTAAGTTCTGAGATACATGTGCAGAACATGCAGGTTTGTTACATAGGTATACATGTGCCATGGTGGTTTGCTGCATCCATCAACCTGTCATCTACATTAGGTATTTCTCCTAATGCTATCCCTCCCCTAGCCCCCTACCCCCCGACAGGTCCCAGCGTGTGATGTTCTCCTCCCTGGGTCCATGTGTTCTCCTTGTTCAACTCCCACTTATGAGTGAAAACATGCAGTGCTTGGTTTTCTGTTCTTGTGATAGTTTGCTGAGAATGAGAGTTTCCAGCTTCATCCATGTCCCTGCAAAGGACATGAACTCATCCTTTTCCATGGCTGCATAGTATTCCATGGTGTATATGTGCTGCATTTTCTTTATCCAGTCTATCATTGTTTGGCATTTGGGTTGGTTCCAAGTCTTTGCTATTGTGAACAGTGCTACAATAAACATATGTGTGCATGTGTCTTTATAGTAGAATGATTTATAATCCTTTGGGTATATACCCAGCAATGGGATTGCGGGGTCAAATGGTATTTCTGGTTCTAGATCCTTGAGGAATCACCACACTGTCTTCCACAATGGTTGAACTAATTTACATTCCCACCAACAGTGTAAAAGTGTTCCTATTTCTCCACATCCTCTCCAGCATCTGTTGTTTCCTGACTTTTTAATGATTGCCATTTTAACTGTCATGAGATGGTATCTCATTGTGGTTTTGATTTTCATTTCTCTAATGGCCAGTGATGATGAGTTTTCTTTCATATGTTTGTTGGCCACATAAATGTCTTCTTTTGAGAAGTGTCTGTTCATATCCTTTGCCCCCTTTTTAATGGGGAAAACTAGGTAGCCATATGCACAAAACTGAAACTGCATCCCTTCCTTACATCTTATACAAAAATTAACTCAAGATGGATTAAAGACTTAAATGTAAAATTGAAAACCATAAAACCCTAGAAGAAAACTTAGGCAATACCATTCAGGACATAGGCATGGGCAAAGACTTCATGACTAACACACCAAAAGCAATGGCAACAAAAGCCAAAATTGACAAATGGGATCTAATTAAACTAAAGAGCTTCTGCACAGCAAAAGAAACTGTCATCAGAATGAACAGACAACCTACAGAATGGGAGAAAATTTTTGCAATCTATCCATCTGACAAAGGACTAATATCCAGAATCTAGAAAAACTTAAACAAATTTACATAGAGTGTACATTTCTAAAAACTTGTTCTCTGCTAATTAATCACCATTATGATCACTCAATCAAGAATCAACTCTCCTTAATGAAGAATCTCTCCTAATACATTTTATAACTCTTATAGCATTTAAGCACATATTCTGTTTTATTATGGAATTTCTGTACATTGCCCTCCCTTCTAGAGTATAAGTTCCTACAGTGAGCACCTAGAATATAGTGTTAACTAAATACCAGATAAAGAACAGAAGGGAAGGAGGTAGCTGAGTCTAATGAGTCCAATTACTAATAGAGAGGAAATGGAAAGAGAAGGATTAAGAAAAATGAGAGAGGAAGAGGAGTTTAAACAGCATATTTTACTAAGAAAAATATTATTCATCTACATTCTCTGGTGAGCTACATTTCAGAGCATTTAATGTAACTATTTTAGTGCCACTAATCAGTGTTTTTTTAAAACTCCTAAAGAAGTGAAGTGGAAAATGAAGTTGCTGATAGTGTTAAGTAATATTTATCTTTAGAAAACAAAGAAAATGTCTTTAAAATGAAAGCATAAAAACTTGACATATATTCCTAGAAAAATACTGGCAAAAATCATTTCAATAACAGTTCCAGAGACTGTGATAACTCATTTGTTTTATGACATCAACTATCCCCACAAATAGTCAAGAACCAAGCAATACAGAAAGACAAAGAGACACTATAAAGTCAATAGACTAAATTTCATGTAGTTTACAAATGGACAGATATAGTTTGGACATTTATCCCCTCCAAATCCCATGTGGAAATGTAATCCCCAATATTGGAGTTGGGGCCTAGTGGGAGGTGTTTGGGTCATGGGGGTGGATCCCTCATGGCTTGATGCTGTCCTCATGATAGTGAGTTCGCACATGAGCTGGTTGTTTAAACATATGTGGCAGCTCCCTCCTCTCTTTCTTGCTCCTGCTTTCACCATGTGACAGGCAAGCTCCCACTTTACCCTCTGCCATGAGGGAAAGCTCCTTGAGGCCTCCCAAAGCTGAGTAGATGCCAGCACCATGCTTCCTGTACAGCCTGCAGAATCATGGCCAATTAAGCCTCTTTTCTTTATAAATTACCCAGTCTCAGATATTTCTTTATAGCAATGCAAGAACGGCCTACATCATAGACCAAGGGTTAGAACCTATCTACCCTCTCTTCACACATTTTTCTAGCAAGAACAGGCAGAAAATATTTTGTTACCTATAGGTAATTATGGCAGCATTAGAAAGTGGAAAGAGGGGTTTCTGGAAGAATGCTGGGAGCATCAGGAAATGACTTCTCACACAGGAGACCTGTGATCATGGCCTTGGCTCCACCTTCAGAGGCTGATCTCCAGAAAAACTCCTTTCCATGAAAAAGAAGGTCCCTTAAATCCAGAGGAGCTAGGCACAGCCGGACAGATTATCTGAGTTTCTCAACTTAACAAACTTTATATACCTTTCTGCTGGTCTCAGTGTGTTCTCGTGCTCTTCAAAGACTGTTGCATGTAGACCTCAGCCTCGGTTTCCTCTGATGTTTGGTGGTCTTCCTGAGACCCTTAGAGGGAAAGCCTGTGCCTCCATGCTCGTGTTCAGCTGCCTGAATCCATGTGGCCACACAATCAAAGATCTGGATGGAGACCTGAGACCACAATTCTCGGCTGGCACAACTTGGTGGTTGACACAGCACAACAGAGGACGAGAAGCTGGAAAAATTCCAAAAAAGTGTATCTAAAAATCTAAAAGGACGGAGCAGTTAAGAGATATTAGTGCAGAGACAAACAGTCCTATATAGCTCAATATCTCCCAGAGTCACTCCCACAATAACAAAAGCACTGCATAGCAGGCGGAATTCAAATCTTTAGGTTTGGGTCCCCAGCATTTAGTATGTGGTACAGTACTAAATAAAAGCTTATTTTTAAATTGTACATTAATAACTTATCAATAAAAGGTAATCTTATGTTTGATATACTATGCTTAAGAAAGCAAAAAAAGGGAGTCGTTATTTTAAATAATTTCTAATCCATGTAATTAAAATGAAAACCATTTGGGCATCTGAATTATAAGTTTTGGTTACCTGAAAAACTCACTTATGTGGAACCACCTATAAAAAAGACATGCCACAACTACACTCAGATGACAATGGGTTTTATTTGCTATGGACTAACCTTACTAGAAACAAGACTTTAAGACATACTTATCATTAAATTGGGAAAATATGGCCTTGAATTATTAGACCACACAATTATTGTGTGGGTGGACAATTGGATAGTAAGTCACTTTCTTAGCTTAGCATCAGTGAAGTAGATAGAAAAACTAGGAAGTTATTAATTCTGAGATAATATAGATATTCTTTGGAAAATCACAAATAGTCCTCAGTTTTCACCATTCCTGGAAACCAAGTAATAAAGAAGGCCAGGTTTCCCACTTGAAAAATGAAATAATCAGTGGTTGCTTTCCTGCCCAAGTATTCAGTATTAAGGAAACCATAAATATGAATGACAACATATCTTAACCATCAACTATATCTCTTAAATTGTTTAAAACACTGGGCTGATTCTTCAAGCCTGAGGGGAAAAAAATAAGTTGAAATGTATTGTTTGCCCTAAACAAGAAAACTCTGTAGCCCAAAACAACAGTATGGAAGAGCTCAGTGGATCAATAAATATTTGTCGTGTAAGGCATTATGCTTGGTACTGAAAGAAATTCAAAAGATGATTCCTACCCTCAAGGAGTAGTCTGGTCAGGGAGACAGACACTTACATAATTAACTACTATAATACAATGTAGGAATGGTTTAGTACCAGAAGGGAGGATGACAATAACAGCCAGCATTACCGCACTTTCTGTGTGCTTGGTACAGTTCGAATTGCTTTACCCAAGTGAATTTATTTAATAAGTAAGCTTGTGAGGTGGATACTAATACTAACCCCTTTTTACAGGTGACAAAATGGAAAGAGAGGGTGGTTAGGTCACACAACTGGTACATGACGGTGAGCCACTGAGCAAATTACTTTTGACTGCTGCAGGATGCAAGAGGACCTCCTGGGAAAGTTGGCATTTGTGCTGGATATAGAAGAATAGATAGCTCTTGAATTTGTAGAAGGTTGAGGGAGAACATTCCAAGTAGAGGAAACAAAACACAAAGTCTGGGAGATGGGGACTTGTGAATCACATGGCAAGTGTATCATCCAAAATCCTTTTACTGATTTTAATTCAGAGAATGGAGTGTATTTTAAAGAAAGCTCTTCAAACCTTAACTTATCTTTTATCCTTTACATTGGTGATTGGCATCTTCATCTACCTAGCTCCTAAGGGAGAATTCAGAATATAATCCAAAACCCCATCTTCATTCCTAACCCACACCATCACCACTACCCACACACCCAGATTATCACCCTCCTCTCCATTCTCACAACCACTGCCTCAGTGTAACCACTACCTTGTGACATCCCACCTATACCATGTGGTAGCCTCCTACCTTGAGTCAGATCTTTGGTCTCTAAACAATCGAATCTAGTCTCCATATCAACACTGAGTATCTTTCTAAAATGCCATCTGGTCAAAGTGCTCCCCCACCTACAGGATTAATTCAAATTTGTTATTGAGTCATAAAAATCCACTTGTGATCTATCCCCTGCCTACCTTTCCCATCACATCTTCTGACATTTTCCCAAAGGTATCCTTTATTCTAGCCACAGTGAAATACTTGTTCTCTGAAAGTAACATGTTCTCTATAGACAGCTTTCTACCCTGAAAACCTGTCCCCACCTTACCCCCTACCCTTTCAGTCCTTAATTCTACTCTGAAAATTCCTGTTCAGGTGATTCAGCCTGCATTCTTTTTGTGGAAGTCTTTGAAGACAACCCAGTGCAAGTTAGGGGATTTTTTTCCCCTAGACTCCCATAGCATATTATTTGAGTCCCTATTTTACGATTTCCCACATTACATTATATTGTTTCTTCATGTCTCATTACTCTTTACAGGGAGGCGCCTTGAGACTCTCTTTACCTGTATTTCCCACTGCTCACTCCATGTTTGATAAATGCATGAGTCATTGGATTCTAGAATGCTGGGACTATGGACATAGCCAGCTCTAGCCTATCTTACCTACTCTCTCCTTTAAAGGAAACTTCATTACTTTCTCTGCTGGATCTGTTTCTAAATCAAATTAAGATAGCAAGATAATTACATATTATTGTCAATACTACAAATAACATTGTGTTATCATTTTTAAAGCTGCAAGACAGAGAAGCTAGCTTAAAATGTTCAAAACCTGGTTATTCCAGACTGAAGAAGGAGATTTATACATTTAATTTTAATCCAAAATGTGCTGAACCCTCAAGGACTGGCAATGGTATCTTCATTTCAAAGGGAAGGTTATAGTTAGACCATAAAATTGTTTGATATTTGGATTCTGTTCATAATCCTGCCATATAAATTTACGGACTGATTTGTTTTTACATATCTCTGTCATCCTAGTTATTTTTATTTTTCCAATGGCATCTGCTTTTTGTTTGTTTCTCCCCATCCCTGACTAACTTAAATCCAATTTACTGACACTGTTGGCTGAACAGTTGCAGGACTCCTTTGCCCTCGCTGCTTTTGTCCTTAGGATTGCTCTTTCTCCTTTGCTGCAATCCCCAGACCTTACTGGGACGACTCCAACCTCCAGCACTCAGGTCCTGCTTCTTATATTTCCCCAAAGCTGATTAATGGTGGTTTCTGCTTCTGGATTGGTAGTGGTGGTTTAGTATGAATGGGACTACTTAATAACAACAGTTGTGGCAGTAGTAATATTTACTGAACATTTGCTATGTGCCAGATACTCTGCTAAACAACTATCATACAGATTGTCATAGTTCATTTTCCTAGCACTGCTATGAGAGCTAGTGAGTGAAAGAGCTCAAATTCAAACCCACACCCATCTGATTACAGAATAAAGCAGCAGCTCTCTAGCAGGGCTTGTGAAGAAAAAAGGTGAGAAATTCCATCTCAGTTCCTCTACCTGATTAGAGGTTCCCCTCCCCATCTTCTCACCTCACCACCTGCCTCCCTGATGGACCAGTGATTGAAAGGACTGTTAATGAGATTGTTGCTGTCTCTCCACTTTATCTCTACCTTTTCTCTTTGCCAGGAGGGAGCCAAGCAAGCAGTGGTTCTTCCCTCCATTTTTATGGCTGGACTGCCCAGTACACAGTAGTGTCATAAAACACATGTGTACACACACACACAAAGAGCACAAGTATGCACCACCAAGGTTTTAAAAACAGCTCTGAAGAGATACTTTTCCTGCACAATCAACATGTCACTTCTGCTTAACTCCTGTCGTCTTTTCTGTTGACCCCCCTTGATTCCTGATCCCGGGTATATCTCTGCCAAATAAATGCATTAAAACAACAATAACCTCTCATTGTTATCATTTTGCAAAAGAAACAATATTTTAAACACCAAACTAGACATAGTCTCAGATTAAGAGATATTTCTTAAGCAAAATAAATTTACCTTTATGAAAAAATATAGGCAGACTCATCTCCCAATACTAAAGCCATGTAGCCTACCATGATCTCTATGCTTAGATTGAGAAACAAACCTGGAACAACTCACAGGCTCTCCAGTGCCAACCATTCTGCGAGACTGATGTCTGCACTTCCACCCTCCAGATTTGGGAGAGATTTGAAGTAGTTCCTCTTCACAAAAAGGTAGGCCTCCTTGGCTTACATCACCTCCCTATTCTTTTTACTCATTCGTTGTTCAGAGAGTTAACCAACCCTTTTCTGAGCTACTCCAGGATGTTGTGCAGACTTCTGTTCTTATTGTAGTATTTTTTGGTTACAGTTTGTCTGTCTCCTCCACTGGATTTTGAGCTCCTAAGGGCAAGGGTTTTGTCTATCTCATTTTGGATAGACACAGTACCACACAGTAGGCGCTCAATCTGTTGAACAGAACTGACCCTTCACAGAAGAAAAACAAGCTCACTAAATTAATGGGAGGAACAGAGCTCAATGAAGGGTTTGGCAGAATAATTTTGTTAATGATTTTTAAAATTTTGTCAGTAATTTAAGATGGCAATCATTTTGAAACAGTTATTTCATTATTGAGTCTTATTTTCAGTGAACGTAAGTTATACAAATTCCATTTCTAGATCTTTCCCTTTCCCACTGATGTCCCAAAGCAAAACAACAAAGCTAGAGACCAAAAGATCCTAATAGGGTCATTATTCTCATTTGAGAACAATAACCTTGGAATCTCACCAATCACAATATCAGTTAGAGATCTGTTAGTCATTAATGATAAAGTTCATGCAAAGTTAAAACAATGTCTTAGTCTCTTTGGGAGGCCCCATTGCTTAGTATGTTATCAAATAATATATACTGAGTGAATAGATTAATTATTTTGGCAGAAAAGTTAGTGTCCTAGTTTCTAAAAATAGAACAGTAATCCTCAGTATTTTTGTTTAGGGAAGTTGGGGGCAGAAGAGAGGAAGAGATGAGATAAGAATGAGCTGATAGATATATTTGATGCTCAGTGGTCTCACTTGAAATAAAGACATCACTTCCATGTTGTCTTGTCCTTTGATGCAAGTTTCTGAAAGACATCAGATTGATCAGAGACTGTCTACACTCAGCAGTCCAGACTTGATACTTTCTTAATCCATAGTCAAGAAACATGAAAGATATGCAAATTGTAAATTGTCTGTCTCTTCCATCTTCTCTTCTCCCTGAGTTCTATCTTTCTGCTTACCATGACTTAATATATTGATTCTTCATTCAAGTTATAGAATTAAATATTATGTCTGAAATACCACTGGATGCATTTTGAACTTCCCACCATGTACCAGGCACTATTCTAGGCATTGGGTATATTGTGATGAAGAAAATGAAGGTCATCTCTAATTTCATGGAGTTTTATTCTGATACGAAAGACAGATAGTGACCAAAGAAACAAACATGTACACAGTTTCACAGAATGATAAATCAAGACAGTAAAGTGGAGAAATGGAATAAAGATCACTGAGGAAGTAGGATACAGCCACCTTACAAATATAGTGACCAGGAAAAATATTTTTGAGGAGGTCTCAGTGCTAAAAAGAGCATTAATTCCTCCCTACTCAAGCCAACTTGCTTAATGACATTTGTCAATCAGAGTCATTTTCAGTTATAGCCTCCTTCAAAGAAGGGTTCATGTCAAAGTTCAGTGACATATAAGTGATGTTCTATAAGTGACCATTACCTGATTAATCTTCCTTGCATATTCACTAGAATCCCATTAACTGGAAAAATCACTGGGTTGCTCCAATAAACCTCTGACAGTTACACAAGAAACTTATTCCTCATCAAAGATTTACCCAAACTACCAGAGATCACCTGACAATGTGTTTTACTTTCTTTCACCCTAAATGCTCTTCACCCACTGGGATATTATCTGTTGACATGCAACATCTGTTGTTCATTTTCGAACACTAATCCCTGCGGTGTGTCCTTTGGGTGATCAAGCTTGCTCTAAAGCTTGCTATAAAATATTCAAGAAGATTTGGACTCTCCTATTTTTCCATTGACATTTTTACCCCTCCTTTGATTTCAACTTGATTTTATTTTTCCTTTGCTTTCCTTCCCACTATTTTACTTCTTTCTTTAAGTAGGGCTTTTCTGTACTTCTATGTGTACACACTGCTTTGACCACATGCTCTTAAAATTATAAAGCTCACACAATTCAAGCAAGTTATACATTTAGAAAAAATCCCTTACACCAGCATTATTTTATTAGAAAATAAAACTTTTTAAAAGGTCAAATCTATTCTTCTGGGAAATACATGTTTTTCATATTTAGGGTGAATCAAAATTTATACTTCAGAGACCTGTCATAAACTCCTAGATGTTAGGAACCCCTCCTTCACCACTGACTTTGAAGTTAGGAGTTTAAACCAAAGATAGTAAAAATAATCACACATATTTATACTTGTCCAATATCTTCATTCCAAGACATAATAACAACCTTCAAATAAATTAAACTTTCACTTTTTTCACAGATAAATATTATGATGAATAAGTAGCAATATGTTAATCTGCCAGACACACAGTAAAAACTGCTAAAACTAAAATAACAGGTCTCCATGAATTATTTCTATTATATTTTCTCCTCCTTCTTCTTCCAAGAGTCCTCCCCTGCCCTATCTTTCAATTTGCTCTTAAGTGGCTAATTTTGATATGAAAGCCTTCTCTCTTCCAATAATTTCAATGACATTGCACTGAGATTGTTAACCAGTATGTCGCTCGATATTAAAACTACAACAGAATGTGTTCATTGGGAAGTATAATTTGTTTGACATTTTCATCTTTCCAGATGTTACAGAAGTTTCCTTTATTCACCAAGCCAAAGAACTGGGATACATAAATAGCTTTGAAATTGACAGTAATTTCAAAATAGTTTACAAAAATCAAATTCTTTCCCTGATTCCTTCTCCATGCCTTCTCTAAAAATTTCAGGAGCAACATTTCCTATGAGCAAAGTGCTCAAAAGTTAACATGTTCTTCACTTCTGGTACATTTTTAAAATTCCATAAAGTATGTCATAAGACTCTTCCTAAATCTTCAAAATTCCTGATCCTATGACCGATAAATTAATCAAAAGCCATATGTCATCTAGTGAGTCTCCCCAGGACATGATAGATATCCATGTGGCCTACAATCTAAATACTGGGCAGCTCAGGAATTCTGTGGAGGGAGAGAGGATGGAAGGAGAAGCAAAGAACTATTCACATCCCAGCTCCATTCATATCCATCCTGGTAACTCTGGGCAAGGCAAGTCTCCTCTACAGGCCTTAGGTTCAGGCAGAGATGGAGTGAAATAAAGACTTTTTACTCTAATTTCCTTTCTTGTTTTAAAAGTATAATTTATTCATTTCTTGAAAGTTACCACTGGAAAGTAACAGGCAAAGTAATCGAGAATAAATAAGCCACACTGTGTGCTCTCTAGCCCCATTTTCACTTTAAACTGGCCCACCAGTACTCCTCACACAAATCAAGACAGCTGGGTTAATTCGAACCTTGTGGGGAAAGCATTTATATCACCACAGGAAGGCGAGTCACAGTATTCAGCCTCTATTAGATTCATTAAAATGGGTACATAGACCAGAGACAACATCAAGTTAAGATTTTTCTAACACAGAGATCCAGCTCTTTCGATCATTAGAGAATGCTTCCAATTGGAGGAAGATTTAGGTGGCATTTCTCCTCTAGTAGAGGAGCTGTTCTAGAAGCACTTTGATAGGCCAAGAGAATTAATTCAGGTGACCAGAGCAAGAGGTTTCCACATGTGCAGGTGGTGAAGCCCATTCATGAAACACTTCCCAACAGCCCACCCCATAAGGAAATACTGCCTCCAGATCTGTTTGAGCACGGCTGCTGTCCGGATTCCTCCTTAATGTGGAAAACCTGTGTTTCTGATTATTTTCCCAAAATTGGCATGAACTAGCAGTGAGTAACACATTGCAAAAGAGCTCTGTGCTGGGCAGCCACACAAGCTGCGGCCCTTCAAATCCCATGTGGCAACACTAGGAAAGGGTCGGGCCTTCTGGCTCCCACCACAGTCCCTCTGCAGAACAGTGCCATGGGGCCACCTCACACAGGCCTTCCCACCTGCCCACCCCACACTGGCTTTTCTAAGCTCCCTCTTGCTTTACAAGGTCTCCCAGCTTCATTCACACTGCAAATTTCATTCCATTAGCATGTCGAAGCTTCCTCCCAGATTATTAATCAAGATGTGAAATAAGATAAAACCTAATCCGCAGTCCCTCAGCTACAAATGCTCAAAGCCAGGCTCATTAAACATATCTGTCAACGATGGATTACACCAGCCTTAGGCCCCAAATTGATTGGAAGTCAGGAGGAGGCAGTGGGGTGGGGTTGGGGGGGAAGCATTTGGTTGCACAATATATTCAAAGGAAGGAATTCCTTTTAAGGTGTGGCCAATTAAATCTGTTCAGAGATAAGTATAGGCTATACAGTTTTATAGATTCTTTTCTCCAGTTGTTAATAGCAGCCGAAGTGATGGGAACACAGAACTAGTAATTCATGTACCATGTGTGTGAAAACCTGAAAATCATTATGAATGGAAGTAAAGCAATATGCCATCTTGGAAGCAAACCCAGTGAATTCCTGCATGGATTCAAATGCTATTTCCTTGTGTCAAAAAGAAAAAAATAAGAGAGAGAAAAAAATACTGAATTCTGTTTAAGTGTTTAAAGTCACATTTCACTAAGGTTCTTATCTATCATCCTGTCATTAGCATCCTCACCACCATCCCCATCCTGAGATACTTTGTATTTATATTGGGCTTTTCAAGTTCAAAGCACAAAGCAGACACACCAGGCAATTAATCACCTTGAGGGATGTGAGTTGGGTGGAATGCCTTCCCAGCAAATGCATTCCTAACGTGTCACTGGAGGATCCACTCAATGGGAGTGTTCCTGGCCCACAATTTGATGTCATATGTTGGCATTTTGTCAGATTTCAAATATACATTTTCACCTACCAAACTGACAGCCCTACTTACTGAATCAAAGGAAAAGTGATTTTACCAATCTTTTAGCATTAAGAATTACTCTTCTCCATTTGGGTGTTTCTGGGTAGTAGCCACATTTTATACACATCAAAAGGAACAAAAAGCATGGGAGAAGTAAAATTAAATAAATATATTAGTTGTTTTACAATGAGAAAGTGAGCAATAGGGAAAAAATCAAATCTGAAGAGATTTATAATGGGAAACAGATGTGGACGTGAAAGTGATTTGAAGTAACCGACAGGCTCCAAACATCTTCCAAGAATATGTTTCATATACATAAACATTTAACAGCACAATAACTAGGCCAAAATTGCCCAATTTCAAAACTTCACCTGCGTTCCTAAGTTCGCTTTTTATTCTTTGAGATTAAATAGGACAAGGAAAGTTTCCCATATTTGAGCTGTTTATTAACAATTATTTATGATGGACAATGAAATGAGGCATATCTGTTTTGCTTTTCTGTCCTGGTAGGTTTTATATTCTGCTTCCAATTCCCATGCCCCCGTGCTGTTCTATTTGAATTTCCAATGCAGCAGAGGAAATGGCTTCTAAAATATTAAAATCCTGTTTTCATTGACTTTCTTTACGCTTTGTGACCACATTTCTATTCAGATCAGGTTGCACAGCTTTTAACTTCTCCAAGTCTAAACTTAAAGTTAGAGCAACTTCATGGTACCCCTTAAGTGGATATCTCTTAATCTCTTATAACAAGGGAGAAAGCAGTCTGGAAACTTCAGAGCATCCAGGCCAATGGGATGACTCTTATTAAAAAAAAAAAAAAAAAAAAAAGATTTTTATTCCAGTTTTCTGGCGTTTTGAAACGGTTTTGAACTACAATTGCATTTTGAAACAGAGGCTCATCTAGAGCAAGACACCAGCCTGGTAAAGTTCCTAGGAGAACGAACTTGCCTGGGTTCACATGGCTGAAAAAGAAAGTCTCAGCCATGTCCCCAGTACTCACCCTGTGATTTTTCTCCTGACCTCCAATCTTGCTTTCTCTAAATCTCGATTTTCTACACAGGAATTCTTTTTATTGTTCTCATATTATCCCTTTTGCATATTGCTTGGCCTCTCTGAAGACCAAGCAATGCAGTCAAGGAAAATGAAGCTGTCCATTCTCTATAAGAGAATCAGGTTCTAAAGCCTCATCTCAGTCTCCAAAGAAAAATTATCTGTGAAGTTGAACTTGGAGCCTCCAGACTCCTGGAGGCATCCAGGAATCCTGCTTGCCCTTCCCTAAGTAACAACCCTCACTGTAATATTACAGTTCTAATAATTAATGCCTCTATGCTGTTTTATAGTTCACAAAGCATTTTCATTACTTCACAAGAGCTCTGTGACAGAAGGTGGCAGGTTTTATGTTAGCCATAGTATACAGATGAGGAAACTTTCATTCAGAGAGGTTCCATGAATTGTCTAAGATCACAAAGGTAATTAGTAGAGAAGCTAGGGCTCTACCTCAGGACTTCTAATTTCCAATCCTATTTTCCTTCCTCCATACTACATGTGTTCCTATCATATCATTTCCTGAAAGCAGAGTCATTCTCAGAAGGTTTTGTTTTCCTGGTGCCTCCCTTTCCTCTCAAGTACAAGTAGTTGACAGAAGATTTGGGAAATACACCCTGTGGGCAGATGTGATCTGTCTAAACTCCATCCCAACTCATTGCACTTGGGTCTAAAGTAAGTCTTGGTAATGTTACGGATGGTTGTTAATTTAACAATTACTTATGAAGCACCTCCTTTTCAGGCACTAAGCTCTGAGGAGACAACGAATTGCGATAAGACCGACCCCTCGCCAACCATTGAAGAGCTCACAGTCTAAATTAAACATATAATTACAGTCAAACAGAACAAATCATACAAAAGAGGGCACTCAGGGCACTGAACATAAGTGATCATGGAAGGCTTCCTGGAAAAGGTGGCATCTAAATTAAGGCCTGAAAGATGAGGTAGCCAAGTGAAGAGATGGGGAAAAATATTTCAGTTAAAATATATGCATATATTTCACAGGAGAGTTGTTGTTTTATGGATATAGAGTTGCAGTTTGGCAAGATGAAAAAGTTCTTGAGATCGGTTGTACAACAATGTGAAGACATATAACATTACTGAACTATATGTATTTTAACTCAATTAGAAATAAAATGTATGCTTTTTTTCTGGCATGTACAATGAGGCTAAGACCAGTCCCACTTAATGTAAATCCCAGGCTACCATTCCTGAACCTTTTACTGATTTTACATCATTCCTTGGTGAGAAATTTCAGTCCTGTTATTGATTAACTCTGATAAGAGACAATCCTAAGTAAAAGGAGTATTAATTCTGGTTTTTCTGAACTTCAGCCTCCTGGAGAGCTTACCTCCTTTACAGACTTCCAGAGCTCCTCCAGACCTGCCCAGATCAACCATGTTAAAGCACAAGCAAGAGAACTTTTCTTTCAGCTGAGGCCAAGCTGAGGGAAGGGAGACAGAATCCAGGCATGATTATTTAAAATGGTGCCAATCAAACAAAGTCATGTAAATAAATTATCTTGTGATAAGAAATCCATGCCTTGTAGGCTCATCTATCCCTAGGATTTTGTGGGTTTAAAAACATTGGTTTTAAATAATGTTCCTTCCGAGCATCCCCAGTTTGAATTGGCAAGGGGAATAGGATATTCCATTTGTAGTGGTGGCAGCCACTGAATCTCTGGAGGGCTGGGAAACCCTGACAGAGTAGGAGCAGTGAGGAAGCGGGCCCTGGGCCTAGTGTGATTGCTGGTATTTCCCACACAGGGTCAAATAATACTAGTCCGGCACACCAGGCATATTCCCATTTTCTCAGAACACTGGGAAGAACTGCCAGCATTGGGACTTTCAAAGCTGGAAATACTGTGAGGAAAATGTGAGCAACAGGAGGAAAAAGGTTACCCAAGAGCCATCTCACTTCGTTTCTCCCTGTGTCCCTCCTTCCCTACCCTTCCCCATTTATTTACTCCAGAAAATTGTACCCTCCTCATAGGCCAATGAGTGACCGACTTGTCCATTTTCTATTGCTGTAACAGAATATCACAGAATGAGTAATTTATAAAGAAAAGGAGTTTATTTAGCTCATGATTCTGTAAGCTGGGAAGTCCAACAGCATGATACTGGCCTCTTGCAAGGGTATTCATGCTGTGTCATAACATAGCAGAAAGTGAAAGGGCAAGCAAGTGAGTGCCAAAGAGAGCACAAGAGAGAGCCAACCTCACTTTTACAACAACTCACTCCTTCAAGAACTAACTCCCATGATAAAAACATTAATCTGTTCATGAGAGCTCCGCCCTCATGACTCAATCCCCTCTTATAGGCCACACCTCTTAATACTGTTATATTAGCAATCATGTTTCCAACACACGAACTTTTGGGGGACACATTCAAACTACAGCAGGAATCATATGGGTTCTGAGGTACACCAACCCTGAAACTGCAAGGTAAGCAATACTAAAAACCTACCTGAGATTCTTTTGTTTTTACCACCCATTACTTCAAATACTTATCATGTATTCCTTCTGTCTACCTGAAACACTGTACCCTCTAACCAACATCTCCTCATTCCCTCCACCCAGTCTCTGGTAAGCACCAATCTGCTCTCTGTTTCTATAAGTTCTATTGTTTTAGATTCAAAATATAAGTGAGAACATGTGGTATTTGTCTTTCTGTGCTTGGCTTATTGTACTTAACATAATATCCTCTAAGTTCATTTATGTTGTTGTGAATGACAGAAGTTCCCACTTTTTTTAAAGGCTAAATAGCACTCCCTTGTGTTATATACCACATTTTCTTTATCCATTCATCTGATGATAGACATTTAGGTTGATTTCACAACTTAGCTATTGTGAATAATGTTACAGTGAACACAGGCGTGCAGATACCTCTTTGACATACTGATTTCAAATCATTTGAATATATACGCAGAAGTGAGATCGCCGAATAATATGGTAATTCTATTTTTAGTTTTTTGAGAAACCTCCATACAGTTTTCCCATGTCTAACTTACATTCGCATCCACAATGTACAAGGGTTCTCTTTTTTCCATATCCTTGCCAACACTTGTTATATTTCACTTCTTGATAATAGTGACCCTGAAAGGTATGAGGTGATATCTTATTGTGGTTTTAATTTGCATTTCTCCAATGATTAATGATGTTGAGAATTTTTTCATGTATCTGTTGGCCATTTGTATGACATCTTTTAAGAAATGCCTATTCAGCGCTTTTTTTTTTTTTTAAATCAGGTTATTTGTTTTATTGCTATTGAGTTGTTTGAGCTCCTTACATATTTTGGATATTAACCCCTTATCAGATGTATGCTTTGCAAATATTTTCTCCAAATCCACAGGTTGCCTCTTGACTCTACTAATCGTTTCCTTTCCTGTGCAGCAGCTTTTTAGTTTGATGTAATTCTATTTGTCTATTTTTGTTTTTCTTGCCTGAGCTTTTGTGGTCAAACCCAAAAAATCATTGCCTAGACCAATGTTGTATATATGTTCCCTTATGCTTTCTTCTAATACTTTTACAGTTTCAAGTCTGATGTTTAACTCTTTAATATATTTTTAATTGATTTTTGTATATGGTATGAGATAAGGGTCTTATTTCATTTCTCTGCCTGTAGATATCCAGTTTTCCCAGCACCCTTTATTGAAGTGACTGTCCTTTTCTCATAGTTTATTCTTGACACCATTGGCAAAAATAAGTTGACCATAAATGCATGGGTTCATTTTGGGTGCTTTCTTCTGTTACATTGGTCAGTGTGTCTATTTTCACGCCTATATCTTGCTTTTTAAATTACTATACCTTTGTAATATAGTTTGAAGTCAGGTAGTCTAATGCCTCCAGCTTTGTTCTTTTTGCTCAAGATTGCCTTAGATATTTGGGGGCTTTTATAGTTTCATATGAATTTTAGGATTGTTGTTTCTATATCTGTGAAAAGTAGCATTGGAATTTTGATAGGGATTTCATTGAATCTGTAGATCACTTTGGCTAGTATGGATATTTTTAATTCTTTCAATCCATGAACACAGAATCTCTCTCCTTTTATTTGTGTCATCTTCAATTTTTTCAAAGTTTTGTATTTTTCAGTTTACAGATCTTTCATCTCCTTGGTTGAATTTATTCCTAAGTATCTTTTGCAGCTATTGCTTTCTTGATTTCTTTTTCGGATAGTTTGTTGTTAGTGCATAGAAATGTTACTGATTTTTGCTTTATTTTATATGCTGCAACTTAACTCTATTCATTTATTAGTTCTAACTTTTTTGTGGAGTTGTTAGGATTTCCTACATATAAGATCATGTCATCAGCAAATTGCAATTATTTCAATTCTTCCTTTCCAATTCGGATGCCTTTTTTTTCTTGCCTAATTGTTCTGGCAAGGACTTCCAATATTATGTTGAATAGATGTGATGAGAATGAGTATCGTCTTGTTCCTGATCTTAGAAGAAAAACTTTAAACTTTTCACCATTAAGTGTGATGTTAGTCGTGTACTTGTCACATATGACCTTTATTATATTGAGATGTATTCCTTCGTACCTAATTGTTGAGTTTTTATCATGAAAAAATGTTGAATTTGTCGAATGTGTTTTCCTATCTAATGAGATGATCATATGATCAAAAACCATATGATCCTTCATTCTATTATTGTGATATATCACATTTCTAGATGTGTATATGGTGAATCATCCTTGCATCTCTGGGGAAAATCATGGTGAATGATCCTTTTAATATGTGGTTGACTTTGGTTTGCTAGTATTTTGTTGAGGACTATCTGAGATTCTTAAGTTCTATAAAATACTTATCTCAGAAAAAAGTCATAGTCAGCTGTGAACTCCAGCAAACACATCTGAATTTTTCAAAGGGTCCCCAAAGGTTTCAGGATGATGATCCAACCATCCTAGCATGGCACTGTTAAATATGCTGCTATAACAAAGAAGCCAAAATACTGTGATTCCTAGCAGACAGATGTTTTTCACCTAACATTCCCGAAGGAGACTGGCAGCCCACATCACTTTTGCTCATATCTCATAAGCCATAACTAATCTTAAAACTAGACTGGAAACTGTAATCTCTAGTTGGATATCCCTATGTTCAGCTAAAACTTGGAAAGTTTAGTTCCAAAATGAAAGAGGGGAAAACAGGTGTTGAGAGAAAATTCAGGGTCTATGTTTTCTCCCACCTCTGTCTGCACATGCTATACTCACAATGCCTCTGGCCTGGATAATTCCCTATATCCTTAGGACATAGTTCCAACATCACCTTCTCTGGGACACAAGCCCCTACTCTAAGCTCTCAGAGCGTCTGTGCTTCTATGTCTACCCCACCACTTATCTCACTCTTATTGTAATTGTCTATCTGTCAGCTTTCCTACCAAATGAGGGATCACAAGAATGGGCACCATATATATCCTTTATTTTTATATTCACAGAGCCCAGGCTAGCTCATGGTTTCTAATGGGTGTATAATAATGACTGTAGAATGAGGAAAAAAAAAATACAAGAGCATAAATGATCTGAAAATTCTAATTAGGTTTCTGTTTCAGATAATCTGAGAATTGTCTATATTATTTCTTAAAAGTAAGAATTATAATTTTTTTACCAGACTAAATATGACTGGTTTCTAGTCTTGTCCATATTTTATATTAATTCTAATGCTTCTGGGAAGGCAGAGATTTTTTCTCAAAAATATTATTAAAATAATGCAGGCAGCAAAGTACGGCCATTAAATTAACGAGGAAGTGGGTTACTTAGAATTTGGAACAGCAGATTCACTATAGAAATATCTTATGCATGGTAGTTGACCACCAAAAAAACCCCATATATTATATATATAATAAAATAAAATCAATCTTTGCTATTCAAATTGGAATCTCCTATTACACTGCAGTGTAGCATTCAATGCAACAGTGGGGAAAACACCAATGTTTGTAGAGCAGATGAAATCCTCTATTTGGGCATTATTGTAACAGGAAGACATGAATGGAGGGAGAGCTCCACCTTGGGTAACTCAAATCCCCAATAGAGCCATGGAGAAAGAACACCTGGTCTGCTTTTTCTCATCCCATCTGTCCTCCACCTGAGTACTCAGCTATTGTTTCTTCCGTTTCACCAACAGAAGCAAGGACAACTTGTCCCATCAATAAACAAGCTAACAACTCAATAGGCTTTTTTTTCTAAACTACTGACTTCACTGTAAACTAAACTAAAGAACTACTAAACAAGGAGAGTTGTTAGACTTCAGGAAAACCACTTCCCAGGGGCGAATTTTCATTGAAAGAGTCACATGGCCTGAAAACTGTTGGGAAATTCAATCCTGATCAAACGAAGCTCCTTCCCAAATCTAAACCCAGGAGTGTCTCAACTAGAACAGGAAACTTACAACAGGAGTAATATTAAATACTGAAATTTCCATCACATGGGTGGCAATGCAGGAATTTCACATT